CGGGTGGGGTTGGGGTGGTTTGGTGGGCGGTGAGATGATGGCGCGCGCTGGACCCCGCAATGGATGGGCATGCCTCGCTCCGAGATTCTTTCTGCTGCGCTTGCCTGGACACCCTTGTTGACCGGCGTGGCCGCGAGAGGACAGCGAGACGCTGACCGAGCCACAGAGACTGCTCCTGAAAAGAAGCTGCCCGCAGGGCCCCCATATGGCCCCAGCACTAGGATACAGCCCCAGGACGGCTCCAACTAAGAAGAGGCGACTCCAGGACGGCCCCGAGACCCCACGTAGACGGCCTCAAGATCCGAATGCACCATGACCCGAGCACGCCCCAGAGAAGCACGCGACGGGCCCTCAGCAGACGCCCAAGACGTCTCCACGCGGCTTCCAAACAGGCTTCTGCGAGGCCAGACAACTCCGCCGACTCCCTTGCGGGGGACACATCAGTCTGCGAGGATTAGGTTCCATTGAATGAGTAGCCTAGTTCTCGCCGGTGCAATACGGCAACTCGGAACGCTTCAACCCCCAACAGCCATGCGGGCGTATATGGCTTAGGGCTTTATCTCTCCCAACCCTCCTTCTTCCCCTTCGGGGAGGGGTTGGTCGCTGCTCATCATTCACGCACACCCCTTCCCCCGAACCGCCCGGCGACAAACCTGGGCCAGTGACAGCCCCCACCCCGCCGTCCCCTGTCAAGAACAGCCCTGCAGCAAGATCTGGGCCGCACGCCTGCGCCCCGTGCGTGAGCTTTTTTGCACCGATGTGTTGCAGGGATGGGCTGGAGGAGGCGTTCCTTTGCAAGTACGTCGGCTTCGGCGCCGCCTGTTTCCGAGGCTTTGCCTCCTCCCGGCCTCGCTCTGAGGCTGCGCTCCCCTTTTCCTCCCCCATCTCTGATCAATTCAGGCTTCGCGCGGCCCGCTTAGCTTCGACTGGAAGAGGTGCGCCCTCGACCCGCGGGTCCAAAAATGTGTTGCAGGGACGGGGGGGGGGGGGGCACGCTGTCCGCCCTGTGCAGGCCGACCGCTCTGCACAAAAGACACGGGGCGCTTCGCGGGCGCCCCGCGACCACTCCGCACGTGCTGCTCAGCAGGGGCCGGCGGGGGGGCCCTCAGATGGCCCGCTCTGCGCAGGCCTGCCGCCCGCCTCAGAACACGCACCGCAAGATGCACCCTGCGGCAGACTGTGGAGCGCACGAGCCCGTAGATCGTGCCCGCTCTGCGCAGGCCCGCCGTCCTGTGCCTGCAATCCGTGCCGAATCCAGTCTGCGGCAACATCTGGATCATTGAAGGGGCCCCAGGACACACAGATAAATACTCACAGATAAAGAGATTCCCAACATTTTCCAATATTTTCTGGGTTTCTGTCTTCCCCGCCACTTCCCATATTTTTCCCCACATCCAAAGTGGGGTTCTTGTTTTCTCTGGACACCCCGCGCAGGAACAGGAACACACACACACACCCACTCACACTCACTCACACTCTCTCATCATCAACCTCATCAGCATCATCGATGATGCTCTCTCACATGCTTAGTCACTCACATACTCATCATCATCATCACTCGCACTCTCTCACACGCTCATGAACATCATCATCATCATCATCGGCATCATCCTCATTCAAACATCATCATCGCCACCACCACTCACAATCAATCATCATCCTCTTCACCACTCATCTTCACCACCACTCATCATCCTCATCCTCATCATCGTTGAGTAAATTGTGAGGAAGTCTCAGGCGGGAGCCCCCTCCCTATGGGGCCCGCAGATCATGTTGGTAATCCGAACGGGTCATCGGAATCCTGTAACTGTCGTCACTTTTGAGCTCCCCAGGCCTGAAAATGGAGGAAGTCTCAGGCGGGAGCCTCGTCTGTGAGTGAATTGGGAGGAAGTCTCAGGCGGGAGCTCCCTCCCTATGGGGCCCGCAGATCATGTTGGTAATCCGAGCGGGTCATCGGAATCCTGTAACTGTCGTCACTTTTGGGCTCCTCAAGCCTGAATTTGGAGGAAGTCTCAGGCGGGAGCCCCCTCCCTATGGGGCACGCAGCTGTTGGGTCAAATCCGAGCGGGTCATCGGAATCCTGTAACTGTCGTCACTTTTGGGCTCCTCAAGCCTGAATGTGGAGGAAGTTCAGGCGGGAGCCTCGTCTGTGAGTGAATTCTGAGGAAGGCTCAAGCGGGAGCCCCCTCCCTATGGGGCCCGCAGATCATGTTGGTAATCCGAGCGGGTCATCGGAACCTGTAACTGTCGTCACTTTTGGGCTCGTCAAGCCTGAATTTGGAGGAAGTCTCAGGCGGGAGCCTCGTCTCTGAGTGAATTGTGAGGAAGTCTCAGGCGGGAGCCCCCTCCCTATGGGGCCCGCAGATCATGTTGGTAATCCGAGCGGGTCATCGGAACCCTGTAACTGTCGTCACTTTTGGGCTCCTCAAGCCTGAATATGGAGGAAGTCTCAGGCGGTTTTGTCCAGGGCGGAGGCGAAGCAGCTCGCGGCAGAGCTGGGCTTCGTGCTGCCTTCCGCCTGAGCGCGGCTGCGCCTCGCTCGAAGCCCGCGGGGTTGTCCCAACGGCTTGGTCTTGCGCGCCAACGGCTCGCGGGGTTGTCCCGACAGCCTGGCCCGCGGGGTTGTCCCAACGGCTGCGCGACGTGACCAGTAGAGAACGCGCCTGTGCTGGCCGTGGCGGCGACGGCGCCGAGGAACATCGACATGCGCGCTCATGCAACAGGAAGGGGAGGAGGTGGCGGGGCGCGGAACAAACAGGGGGGCGAGGATGGGGACAACGTAAGGAGTGGAAGGGGGGCCCGCGCCAAGGCGACAGGAAATATACGCAGAAGAGACAGCCAGGACGCCTCACCAACCACGAGGACGACGGTGATGGTTTTTTCCAGATTCGCCCAGAGGATTCTTATGTGGGGTTCTTCCGTCGGAGTAATCCCATATTTTCCTGGGGGTCGACGATTCATTGTGTCTGTGTTTTTTCCCCTCCTGAATCATGCGCGGGTCCCCTGTGATCACGTTGGTGCTGGTGCTGGTGCTCTGGGCTCCACCCTTCTCACTGGGTGCTCTTGAATGCTCGGCACTGCGCTTCCGAGGCTGCCCTACCTCATGAACGCATTGGGATCGGGTCCAGGCTCGGATGCTGCCTGGCTGTTGGGAGGACGGGTGGGAGTGAGCGATACGGCTTGCGGCTTGACCCCTCCCCTGCCACCTCCCCTGGGTTTGGACAGGGGAGGAGCAGCGAGCGGTCAAAGCGTCCAAGATGGCCCAAAGAGGGCGTCGGATAGCCCAAGATCGCTTCCAAGATGGCTCAAGATGAGCTCAAAATGCCTTCCAAGCTCTTTTGGAGAGGCAAACAGTCGGACCTAGGCCAGAATAACATGCTCCAAGAACATGATACCCTCCGTCGGCCAAAACAAAAATAACATCCAAGGACACTCTCCCCAGGATGCACAGGAACATCCAACAAACACGAAGAACACTAGGATACCCTCACCGAACCGACCTCGATCTTATACCTCGGTCCGACTTTATTGCAACTCCCAATGCGGCTCCAAATGGCTACGGAGCCTCCCGGGAAGACCCCCGAGAGGCAAACCTCTTTCAATCACACGTTATTGCTCGCATCGGCTTGGCGTTTCGACGTTGCGCCTCCGAAGGGCCTCCAAGGCCTCCTAATGGCCCCGAGATCGCCCAAGAGAGCCCCACGATGGGCCTGGACGAGGCCCAAGGCGGCCCCACGGAGCGCCCAAGAGCAGCCGAAGAGCATTCCAAGAGGGTTCCGGGAGGCGCTCTGTCGGGCTCCGGACGGGCGGCGCCAATCTGCCCCCACTTATTTGATCCACGCCCCCCGCGATGGCTCCGAGCGGGCCCCCAGGGGCCCAAGAGGGCTCCGAAAGCTCCCACAGTGTCTCTAAGTGGGCTCCACGATTGCTCAGAGAGGCTTCCCAAGAGACTCTGCGAAAGAAACATCTGCGAAGACCTGAATGGTTTTGGCTCCGCCTCCTCCTGCTTCTTCGGCGGCAGGCTCAGCAATTCCATTACGGGACATGTTCATGATGACTCCGAGATTCGCCTTGACGGCTGACTCACCTGTCTGCTCCGCAGGATGCTCCTACACTCCAGTGATCAGTGCAACTCGACTGGCGATCATTTCTGGCTGGGCTGGTGGGGATACGCGAAGCGTCAAGAACACGGCAGGCCTCCGGCGGGCGAATCTGCTTTAGCTGCAAACCCAACAACGGCCTTTGCTATTTGAAACATCCTGGCTCGGAGATTGTTTTCTATTCTCCATCCGGAACGTCCGTAGGTTAAGGGGAGAGAGGAGGGAGACTCGGGCCCGGGTGGTAACGTGGTGGGCGCGGGCATGGCAGTAGCAGCAGTGATCAATAGAAATTGCGGCCACGACGACGGCGAGGTCGGTGACGACCAGCGGCAACGACGACGAAAACAACGACAACGACAACGACATACGACGACGACATACGACGACGACGACGACGACGACGACGACGACGCCGCCGCCGGCGGCGGCGGCGGTGGCAACGACGACGACGAAGACGACGACCCCGAGCCGACTCCAACGCTGAAGCCTGTGCACATGAACACGGGTGCTGCAGACACGCTGCCGCTCGATGACATCCGTCGGGCCGAGTCTCGGTTCTCCACCAGCTCCTGGCACGCCCGAGCCACGCACCGGACGCGAGCAGAGAGCCCCAATTGGGGCTCATGGCTGCATTGCGGAGAGGCTGCACGGAAAGAGCAAGTTCAACCAGCACCAGACCGGGAAGCCGGATCGAATCGGAGGGTGCGTCGGATCGGGCTGCGCGGGCACTGAATTGGAATCGATCCAGATCGGCCGCGCCAGGGTGAACACCAGCGCCATGCAGCTACCGGGCCGCGCCGGATCGTCGGAACATCGAAATCGAATCGGATCGGGCCAGCCGGATCCGATATCGCACCAGACCGATCGGACCGAGATCTTCGCTGACAGGGGGGAGCGCGCCTCGGAGCTTGTCGATCTCCTCCTTCTCCGCGGCGATGGCTCCGCTGAGGGTCTTCTGGGAGCCGGTGCACCAGTGCTCAAACTTCGTGTACAAGTACCTTGGCCACCGTGCGGAAGGTGGCTGCCGCGGCAGGACGAAGAACGAGGACGCGCTTTCCACGGCGACGAGGGCCGCATGAAGAGCCGATGCCCGCGATCTCTGAAGGAACAGCGCAGGAGTCGGCAGGCTCCTGCCGCAGGACCGTCGTCGCCCTTGGCCCCCAGGAGCTGCGGACGGCGACCTGCTTGGAACGCCGGCGAGGGTGCAACGAAACCCCTGGCAGCGGAGGGACGAGCAGGACCTGAGCCTTTTCTGTGGGTGGAGGGCTCCGGGTGAAAGCCTTGTGGGCTCTTTTGCACCTCGAGGATCAAGCCGCCCTGTGATCCGCCTCTTGCAGCTTCAGGCCTCGATAATCAGTCGAGACGGCACTTCAGATTTCACCCTTTGCCCTACACTTGTGCATGCCACGACAATGGACACCCCAACAGTCCTATCATTGAATTGAAAATGTGCCTAAACTGTAGGGAAAATGTTCTAAACATGGTTTGAACATGTTGTTAACATGTTTAAAGCATATTCAACACATGTTTTAGGCATCTGGGAACTATTTGGCAGCATGCCTCCTCTCCATTGATCGTCCTCCACAACCCTACACCCGAAGAGAAGGCTCGGACGAGGAGAGAGAGAACAAAGAGAGGGGACGGCAGGCAAGAAGAGAGACCCGACGAAAGCCACGTCGAAAGCCGGGCACGCGGCCAGCAAGGCGGCTCTCCCCTCCGCCTCTACCCGCCGCCTCACCCCCACCGGCTGCCCCAAGGGGGGAGCGCCGCAGCTGGTGCCCGCACACCTCTTCTGGGACTGGACACACTGGCGGCTGGAGGCTTGGGGCCAAGCGACAAGAGCTCCGCGCCGGCCCTGCGCCCTCCCGTCCCATCCCTTTCCCCTTTCCCAGACCCTCTATCCTCCACATCGTTCTCCGCGCTCTTGCTCGCCGCACGGGCGGACCAAAAGACCCTGGGCAAACCAGGGAACCAGGGAAAAAGGTTCGCGACGGCCTGCACGGCGGTCCCCTCCATCCTCCCCCTCACTCATCTTCCCCACCCTATCTAGTTCTCTAGCTCTACCCACCCCTCCCTCCCTCATCCTCCCCACCCTTTCCATGTTATCTCCCTCCACATTATAGCCCGTACATCTTTCTTCCTTTCATTCTCTCCATCCTGCTCTGATTGCGTGTATCTGCCACGTTGGGCGGCAAGCAATACCTCCCGCTGCAATGTTTGAGAGTGGCTGTAGCCAGCGGGGGGAACTCGATCGTGTCATCCTTCGTCTTTCATGCGTCCCGTTCCCCCGCCCGCCAAGTCATAACACAGCACGCGGGCGGGAAACGCCTCCGCACTCCCATTGCCACCCCGCCACCCCTCCTCTCTCCGCCACTTTCCGCCCGTTGGACGTGCTCCGAATAGCTGCGTCCCTGTCGTGACTAACGCGCCTACTTTCCTCCTCCTCCTCCTCCTCATCCTCCTCCTCCTCCCATCATACCATCCTCTCCCTCCCTCCCCGCCCATGCCGCCTCCGCGACCCACCGACCCGCCTCGCGATCCACCCGCGACTCGCCCGCGACTGGCCCCGCGAGCCACCCCGCGACCCGCCCCGCGGCGCACCTGCGGCCTGCCCCGCGCCCAGTCGATGGTACGCCCCCCCCTTCCACCCGCGACCTGCCCCGCGGCCGAGCCGCGGTCCACCCTCGACTGGCCGCGCGATTCACGCGCCCGCCCGCCGTCGACCCATCAGCGACCCATCGACACTTCTGCTGTTGAACAACAGCCTGCGTCGGGCTCGTGGTAGCACCGATCTGCCTCCGAGCCATGCAAACTGCCGCCCCCCAGCCCCCTTAGTGTGATCCGCAACATACATACGATCTATATATGAAAATGTATATATTTATACATATATACACATATGAATATTCATATGGATACACACACACTTTTTCATACAAACATATGTGTGCGACTGCAGCTACATACATACGCACATACATACATGTATATACCTAGCCGCACACAGCATACACACCACGCACACACAAACACATACATATAATATATATAATATATAAACATGCACCGAACAGCAGGACGAGGACGGAGAGGAGGGGCAGCAGATGCAGCAGCAAGAGGCGGAGGACGAGCAGGAACACGGCTAGGATCAGCTGGGGCAGGAGAAGATTCATGAGGAGGAGCAGGATGAGGATAAGGATAAAAAGAAAACCAAGAGGAGTGGAAACGAGGAGCTAACGGCGAACGGAAGGAGAGGCGGCACTCCTCCTCCTGGCTCTCCTTGTTCGCCTGCGCCATCAAGTCCTTGAGGAGGCCGATGACCTTCCAAGCCGCGGCACAATCCGCCGACCCAGTCGGCGTGTGTGCAAGGCCCTTTGATCAGAGACCAGCCCAGATCAAATTGAAAAACGCCAGCCATCTTTGAATCGTGGTCGGCGTAAGGGAGATCGAACAAACAAGGGGGATCTAACAATGTCGTGATTACGTCGAAGAGAAGCCCCTTTGTCCCTTCCCTGACGGGGGGGGGGCCCGGGGGGAATAATCCCCGGGGGGGGTCCCGCAGGGGGGGGGTCCAGGGGGGGTCCCGGGAGGAATCCAGGGGGTTGACCCCTCTTCCTCCGAGAGCTTTCCCCCTCCGTTTTCTCCTTCCGGACGTCCGCCCCGGCCTGGGCCCTGGCCCCAGACCCGGCCCTGGGCCCAGCCCCGGCCCAGGCAGGGGGATCCTGGGAGTAATGACCCCTCCCCTGCTGGGGACTCTCCCCATCGCATCCCGGACGCCCGCTCCCGAGGATACAGACGGCTCTCCTCCTCCTCCTCCTCCTCCTCCTTCTTCTTCTCCCCCTCCTACTCCTCCTCCTCCTCCGCTTTCTCCTCCTCCTCCTCCTCCTCCTCCTCCTCCTCCCTCCTCCTCCTAGGCTCCCCCTCCCCCGCCCCCCCCCTCCTCCTCCTCCTCCTCCGCCTCCTCCTCCGCCTCCTCCTCCTCCTCCTCCTCCTCCTCCTCCTCCTCCTCCTCCTCCCTCCACCGCCCGCCCCATGTCCCGAGCCTGTGGCAGGGACATCAGCTCGTCGTTGTCATTGTTGTCGTGGTCGTCGTCGTGGTCGTCGTCGTCATCGTCGTCCTGCTGGGTCGGCAGCACCTGGACCAACAATAAGGCCTTCACAATCAGACGAAGGACCGGGACAAAATCGGACGAGTACCAATCGGAGATCTCTGAGATCCGGCGGTTCTGATAGACACATCGGGCGCAACGGCCATTCCAGAGCGCGCCGGAGAGAACTGAGGGCACTCCGGGACACTCTGGCCTGATATATCATGACCCTGTTCCCTCGCGTGACGGGGTCGGGGGACAACGGCAGCGGGCACCTCCCGCAAACTCGGGCCCCAAGCCGATGATGATGATGATGATGATGATGATGATGATGATGATGATGATGATGTTCATGATGATGAGGATGATGATGATAATGATGATGATGGTAATGATGATGATTATCATGACGATGGTGATGATGATGACGATAGTAATGATGATGACGACAAGTATGACCGTGATGATGATGATGCCGATGATGATGATGATGATGATGATGATGATGTTGTTGTTGATATTGCTGATGGCGGTGATGATGATGCTGATGATGGTGATGGTGATGCTGATGATGCTGCTGATGATGGTGGTGATGATGGTCGTGATGATGATTGTTATGGTGATGCTGATTGTGTTGGTTATACTGATGATCATGCTGATGATGCGGCTGATGATGCTGCTGATCATGATGATGACAATCACATTTATGTTGGTGGTGATGACGCTGATGACGACGATAATAATGATCATGACGACGGTGATGATGATGATGCGTATGCAGATGATGATGGTAATGATGACGATTATCATCATGATGGTGCTGATGGTAATAATAATGCGGATCATGATGATGATCACGATTATGATGGTGGTGGTGATGCTGATGACAACGACGATGATGACGACGGTGATGATGATGATGATGATGGTGATGATGATGGTGCTGGTGCTGATGATAATGATGATGCTGCTGATGATGATGATGATGATGATGATGATGATGATGATGATGATGTTGATCGTGATGATGGAGATCTTGTCCCATTTCGGGTGCCAAGGAAACAAAACTTGCTGATTGGGGCGATGACGACCGTCTCGCCTAGCAATAAGAGGGCGCGTCGAGACAAAACCGCGCAACAGCCAAATCGACACATACGGAATCGAGAGAGGGAATGCGAGAAGGAAGACTTGAGCCGCAATGTTGCGTCACTCCACATGGGCCAAATCAGAACACCCAACAAACAAGTACGTGATCTTTCCCCATTCCAGTAGCATCCGTGATACACTGTGGGCTGACTCATGCCCCCCCTCCCCTCCCCCTCCCCCTCCCCCTCCTCTTCCTCCTCCTCCTCCTCCTCCTTGGTGCCATGGCAGCTATATCTGCTGGCTGGGGCGAGGGCGACCGCCTCGCCAGGCAGGCAGAGGGCGCTTCGGGACAAGACTGCGCAGCTGCGCAGCAGCCTCATCAGGATATACGTAACCAACATACGACCACAACTTGGCCAGAAGAGGCCGCCAAACGGCCAAAGTCGGAAGCTGGGCGAAGGCTGGCAAATCCGTGGCTGCTAAAACGGTCATTCCGGAAGAACAGAAAAACTCCCGGAATAAAACTCCGCGCGCTGAATAATAAACGGGCTGCTTCCCCGAAGGAAGAAACAATTTCCTGGCGCTCCGTTTTAGCAGCCACGGGTTTGCCAGTCTTCGCCTGCCTTCTCACAAAGCATTGATGCAGCTATTAACAGGCCTCCAACACGAGACCACAGACCTTCGCGTCCCGGAGGTTGCTCGCAGCGTTTCACCAACCACTCAGTGTCCCACTCAACGGAGATACATATTGAAACTCGAAACCGGCGGAATGCGGCCAGGCGCAAGCTTGGAAGGCGAGAAATGGAACCCTCTTCTGCCAGAGCATCGAACCCCGCTTGCCAGCGCAGAGCGCACGTACTGGCACAGGGGGGAAGCGCACGGACCACGACCGCAGCATCCTCGGCCGTCGGTGTGGGCCGTCCGACGGACGGAACCGCAGACACGTCCGACCGAGGCCGGCAGGGGCCCTGGGCGCGTGTCGAAGGCACCCGAGCAGCACAGGAGGACCCGAACGCGGTGGCATTCGAGTGTCAAGATGGCCATTGGGCGCCGCCGTATGGGAGGCGACACACCGGGCCCGGGCAACTATATACAGCGGAGGTCAGTCCACAAGGAACCTTCCGCAAGAAACCCAGCCCTGAGACCCCAAGACGTCCATTGACGTTTGGCGTGGGAGCGCCACGCTTTCCGCGGCAAAACGATCGAAGCCCAAGAGAGCCAGGGCCGCCTCGAGGCAACCGGGGTCTTTCTTGGCATGGGTTCCCTCTGCAAGAGCAAGTTGCCCGGCCATGCTGCACGGACCCGCTGTGTGCGAGTCTGCGCCGCGCCGTGGCGCAGGGCGCTGTGCTGCAAGGAGGGGCAGCTCCTGGGTGTGAGCTCATGGGGGGCGATTGCAGCGAAGGACAGTAGATAAGAAAACTTCACAAGAAACCCAACCCTGAGACCCCAGGGTGTCCATTGATTTCTGGTATGGGGACGTCACGCTTTCCATGGCAAAACCATCGAAACACGAGAAACCCAGGGCACCCTGGAGGCAAGCAGGGTATTTCTTGGCATGGGTCTCCACTGCAATGGGTGGCGACTGGTGGGGTGGAAGAAAGGTGCAAATCTCGGGGCCTAAAGGCTCCCGTTCTGGGCTCTAATAGGGCCCCTTTACGGGCCCTTTTTCTGGAGCCCTCGTCTCCTCCCCCGTGGATCGCTCCCGATTCACCGCGGCCCAAAACCATGGGGCCCCAGAAACCCCGGGGCCGCGGAGAGACGCCAGATGGGCGGACGGGGAAGCCCAGACGCCCCAAATACGCACGACGACCGCCACAGACCCATGCTCTGCATGCACACCGAAGGCCGAGACCAGTCTAGGGCCTGATGCTGCTCTCTCGGGTCACCACACAGCGGCGAAGCCTAGCGACCGGAGCTTGTGAACGATAGGCCCCGACAAGGCCCCGATGCCAACGAAAACCGGACGGGGCAACACTTTAGCGTTACTGAAAACGGCGGCCAGCTGGCGAGCCATATAGCAGGACTCCCAGGACCTCTCCCAGGGTGCGTCCTGACCAGAATTTCGAGGCGAATCCAACGTGGCGACGAGGATCTCCCAGGAGGTCCACAACATGGCAAACGAGGCAAGGGCATCAGTATCGGTACCTCTTCTTCTGACTGCTGGCGAGTCAGATAACTGCCCACCTGTTGGACAGAAAAGGTTTCCACAAGGCCACGAGACGACGCAGCCTGTCTCTGAAGGACAGGCCGCGGTAGCGGGTGGCCGAGGCAGCCCCCCCTCCAGCAACACAGGCTGGCGCCCACCTGATGGCCGATTGCCAGCCAGCACGCTGTCGAGCAGGTCGTTCATCTGCTGCTGCTGCAGTTTGGCCCGCTTCCCATACCATCCGAATGGCCATCCCGTGGCCAACCGCCACCGATGCGTCACCTTGCTGTGGGGAGAGCGACGAGCGGCCAAAGAGGTCGTCGTTGGCGGCGCTGCGGCGACACACGTAGAGAAGGGGTGTCTGCGCCTCGAGGCCCAACGACTCGGCGGCCTGGTTGGAGGGCCTCCACGACCTCGGCCACGGCGAGAACCCCGCAGCGCCATCCCGCCAGGGCCTGCTTGAGCGTTTCCTACCCCGGCCACCGCGCCTGCTGGTCCGGCGCCGCGCTCTTGTCGGTGAGACCCGCCTTGCCCGGGCACCCGTCCTCGCTCGCGTTCAGCACCAGGCCCCGCTCGCTGCAGCGGGTGTCGCGGGAACCAACGAGTCGCCGCAGGGCCCCAACGCGTCCGAAGGACGCAGGTCGCCCGCGAAGGTGAGGGCCACGAACATCGCGCAGAGCAGCTGGCCGAGCGAGATCATGGCGCCCACGATAGCCGTCGCCGCAGCTCGGGGGATTGGCAACAGCATGCGTACAGTAGTGTCTTCAGCTTCTCCCACCCCTCCAGGGCCTTGCGCGCCCTCGGCAGAGCGGCGCGGGGGGGCCGCCGCCATCGTCGCCTTCCCCCACGCAGCCGTGTCGAATCCGCCCACGCAGGGCCACGTGCGCCAGGAATGTCGTCGAATCCATGTCGAGCTCATGGGGCGACGACCACCTCTGCCCCATCCACAGGCACCAAATGCTGGACCCCTGCGAGCGAACCGCGTAGTGTTGGGCGGTGGCATTGGCGAGCGCCGAAACCTCCAGGAAGCTCAATCGACCCCCCGGCACGCTCTCCTGTGGGGTGGCCCTGCATCGAGCCGGCGTCGCGGCCCGAACTGGCCGTCCAGGGTGACCGTGGGCCCGGGGCTCCGCTTGCACCCTCGCCAGCTAAAGCCCGCGGCCAAAGTGCGATGAAAGAAAAAGGACAAGAAGAAGAATGGGGGCGATGGCCCCGCAGAGAACCTGCGCGGGCAAGGCGACGCAGTGCGAGCTCCATAGCCTGCACCATCGAGCTCCAAAGTGTTCCTGCCCTGCAGGTATGCCTGCTGGATTTGGCAACCTGCCTGTCGAGCCCTCTTCTGCTCCCATGAACACATGGGGTTGTGGATGCCAGGACCATGGACACAATGACAATCCTATCATTGAATTAAAGATGTGTTTAAAATGTGTGGAACATGTTCTAGAACTGTTTCAAACACGTTTTTGACATATTTTAAACATATTTGAAGCATCTTTTAGGCATATGGAACTTATTTGGCAGCATGCTTCCTCTCCATTAATCGACTTCCACAACCATGGGGGCCCGCGCAGCCTGGGCAGGGGCTCTCGAAGTCGCCGGTATCCTCGAACCCGAGGCGGCCTCCAGGCCGCGCGCGACGCGGCGGCCAGGCAGGCCGTCCCGCGCGGCCAGGCCCAGTGCCTCCAGAGGGGCCTCGCCGAGAGAGCGCGCCGCCGAGCCGCGACTGCGTCGCCGCGCCGACGTCGCGCCGCCCCCGAGACGCGGCGCCCGAGGCGGCGGCGTCGGAGGCCGGGGGCAGGTGCCGCGAGGCAGCCCGCAGAGGCATCGCTGATGGGGGCCCACTGGGCCCCCCCGCGAGGCCCCCGCCCAGAGCTTCGCGGGGAGGGGCGCACGACCCCGACAGGGCGCACAGGTCGCAGAGAGCACCGACATTGTCTCTCGTCGGCGCAGCACGCGGCATGACCACGCGCGGAGGACTGGGGGCCAGGAGAAATCGCCCTACGGCGCAGAAGTCAGCGAATGCCGAGCCGCAGCCGAGCAAGTCGAGCACAGGGCGGCCTCGCGGGCCCCCGCGTTCCGTCGAACTCAAGCCTCGCGAAGTTCATGGCGGCCCCTGCCGTCTGCGCCTCGCGCGCGGGGAGGCGGCGTCGCATGGCTAGAGCAGCGATCGACGCCGGCAGCTCGCCCGCGGGCCCCATCGACCAAGCCGCGACGCAGAAGTTGTCGACGTTGGCCGTCGCCGCCGACCAGTCTGAGGCAGACGGAGGGGCTGGCGGAGGCGATCCGTCGAGCACGTATCCATCAGCGGGTGCGCAAGCGTCACGAACGATGACATTGGCCTGCGCGAGCTGGCGTAAAAAGGAGGGCCCATTCCGTGGGCATCGCCGAGTGGTCGGGCACCGCGTCGATCTCCAGCGGGATGCCGTCGATCCGGAGCGCCTGGTTCGCGATGCTCGGCGGGGGGGGGGAGCCCGGAGGGACGAGGGGGAGCCCCATTTGGTGGGGCAAAAACAACCTGTCCGCTGCTGCCACGAAAAGCCGCTGACCCCATCGCTGATCTAGATCTCCGCCCCGGCCCACGGCGAGCCCGTCGGGAGCTCGGCGGCCCCTGCGCAAGAACGCCGGCCCCTGCGCAGGAACAGACAAAAAAAACGAGCCAGGGGGAACATCGCGCGCCGTGCCCAGGGCCCCCGCCCTCCCTCGGCGCGACGAGGGCGCCCGCGGCCCGCCGCCCCCGCGCCGCGGCGAGGATTGGGGCCCGCGCGCCCCGCGGCCGCGGGCCGACGAGGGGCGTCGGCACGGCGACCGGGGCAGCGCCGAAGATCGGCGGTGGACAAGCCTCCCTTTCGTAAGCCTCCCCATGGTGAAAGCGGCCTTGGACCGAAACCGACGGACCTGGACCGGCAAAGAGGGCGGCCGCGACGCCCTCTCGCGAACCGAGCACGGCCCATTCCTCCATCGACGCGCCAGGGTAGGAGGTCTATCAGCCTCCGAGAAAAGAAGGAGCGGGGCGCGGCGGAGCCGGCCCCGGCCCCAGCTCCGGGCGGGCGCCCCGGCTCCACGCGCAGGCTCGGGGGGCAGCGCGCTCGCCCTCCGGGAGAGACTATGCCTCGCCAGCTCGCTCGGCGCCGGGCCCCCGCGGCGGCCGCCGGGGCGCCGGGCCCCAGGCGGAGGGCGCGGGGATGCGTCGAGGAGCCAGCACCGTACGTCCTGGCAGAAGCCGGAGCAGCTCTGCTCTCGGGCGGCAGCCGAAGTGGCTCGAGTCAGCAGGTGGCGACGTGCGGAATCGCTCGGCGAGGTGGTCCAGCGCCAGTATCTGGGGAAGGTACTCTTCGCCTTCGGGTGAAACAAAGGTGAGCCCGCCTCCAAGTCAGCTCCGTCCGACCGCTCATATCGCGGAGGCTGTCGATGAACTCGTTGGCCCAGCTGCCCAAAGGAGGGGCCATGCCACGCCGCTGCCGGGCGCGTCGAGAGCGACAGAGGCCACCCCGACGATCGACAGCAGGCCGGGAGAGAAGGCAAAGTCTGCGACGGCGAGCCCCCGGCCCGACCCACCGCCATCGCGAGCCGGCGCGACTCCCTAACCCAATGCTCCGGCAGCCTCGGGGGGGAGTCCACCGCTGGAGAGGAGCGAAGACCGCGAGAACTCCGCCGGCTCCCCGCGGGCGCACCTGCGCCCGTTGGCCACCGCGGCCTCGGCGTTTCACTCGTCGGCGATGGACTGGCGAAGGGGCGGGTCGACGCTCGCGAGGTCCCTGCCCCCCTGGGCCTTCAAGAACATGTCGCTGTCGCTGCGGGCGCCGATCCGAAACAACTGGCTCTTGCCCTTGTCCTCCAAAGGTTGCGGGGGGCGCGCCGTCGGCTTAAGGCGGGCGAACTCATCCATCTTGACCTTGGCAGAGCGCGCCGCTGGCTCCAGGAAACGGCGCAAGCTTGCGCACTTCGCGGCGATGGGATCGCCTCCCGACCCCGCCGCTCGACGACCCGCGTAGAGCGCAAGGCCGAGAGAGACGACTGTCGTTGAAAGAGCTGGCACCTCCAGCTCGCATTACGGGGCCCGCCCATGAGCCATCCCCGCCAAGTGGCAAACGAGTGAAGCGTCGGGCGGCAATGCCTGTGCAACTGGAGACCGGCGGGGCGCACCCCTTGTCCTGACAAGGCAGAGGCGGCAACCATCTCGGGGTCGCAGACGGCATTTTCTTCTTGAATGTCTCTGTAAAAAATGGTAACGAACGATGCGGAACCCACTCCGCGAAGACCGACCAACATCTGGCGCCGTATCTGAGTGCCAGGCGCACGGTCGCATACAAGGTGCCCGAAACACCAAGAGCATCATTGCCAGGCTCGTGGAAGCGAGCGCCTTCATCGCCGTCCAAGGGTCGCTGACGCGCCACCCGCAGCGCCTGCGACGCGGCCCGAAGCCATGTTGGCCCCGCCAATTCCGCGCAAGCCCATGCAAACCCGCCCCGCGACAAGCCGGATTTCGCCAGCGCAGAGCACGACGCGATGGACAGCTGCGTTGCCGAGAATAGGAGCCGCAACTGGGAGCCGCTGCCGTCGCCACAAGAGAGGCCCCCGATGCCTTTTCGCCGCATCGAAAACTTCATTCGAGAGACGGGGCCACATCTTGCAGGGGTGGTCGCACGAACTAAAAACTGGAGCCACAACGACGCGGCAATCAAAACTACCGCGACCAGTCCATTCAGCAAGCAACTGTTTGACGATAAAGGTGGCGGTCATGATGAACATAATGATGATTACGACGATGATGATGGTGATGCTGGTGATGGTCCCGGGGCTGCTGGTGATGCTGTCGTTGTTGATAATGGCGGTGATGATGTAGTTGCGTACTCTGGTGGTTATACAAATGATGACCATCATTCATTCAGTGAACCCCATGTGAGCTTCCGAGACAGCATAAGTGCATGGCAATGGTCCATGGTTGTAAATCCTGGAACTCGGATCACTGGGCCACCACATGTCTTCGGTCAACAAACTCTGTCTAACCGCACAACACGATAAGGTACAACATAGAGTGAGTGGGTCTCTATGGCACTGGCCCCCGGAGCGCAGCCCCTCCCATAGAGCCAAAAGACCCCAATAGGAGAACGGCGTTCGGGGCCCTGGAACACTGACTTCAAGGCGCCGCTCACGTCATGCGAGGTGGACATTGCACCGACTGAGCAAAGTTCGGCGGCAGGTCCTCGGAGCCAACAGCGCCTTTCATGGAAGTGAGCCATCGGGCATTAGCACGTCACAGACGGCCGTGATGAATAAGCGTCGCACGTAACGCTTGATGGCGTTTTTTGGTGACACGAACAGGTCGAAAAATGTCCGCCATGGCAGGAAACGCAGCGCGCGGAACTCCAAGCGTCCCTCAACGCTGCAATGTTTTACGGCATGATGATGACGATGCGGAGGATGATGCTGATGCTGATGACGATGATGTTCCCAATTTGCCATGGACCGCGTGCATCGCATAGTTGCCACTCGCCGACAAAAGTTCGGTGAGGCTGCCACCAAAACCGTGGCGAGCAATCGAGACCCTGGAGGTGGCTTCCCGGGCTATACCCAGGAACAGGCCCGGGAAACCACATCAGCCGCCGACCCAGACTTGAAGGGGACCCAGCCGTGATTACGAGAGGGCCCCCGTATCCCCTTCGCCGCCGTTGTGTTGGTGGAGAGTGGACGCAGGGGGGGGGGCAGGAAAGGGAACGTCCGACAAAACGACGGCCAGGCCCAGGCCAGCGGGCCTTCTCGACCGGGTGGCGCGAGGCGGCGTTCACAACACTGCCCCGCGCCACCGCGCACAGCGCGAGGCAGACAAGGGAGGCGATGGAGCACCTGGCTGCAGCCCCCCCGGGCACCCTCGGCCACCTCCTCCTTCCTAGCCGCCCTCTCATCCTCCATGCTCCTCCCTCCTCCCTCCTCCTCCCTCCTCCTCCCTCCAACCCCCTCCTCCCCTCATCCGCCTCCCTCCTCCTCCCTCCTCCTCTTCCTCGTCCTCCTCCTTTTCCTCCCATAGCTCCTCTCCTCCTCCTCCTTCTCCTCCTCCTCCTCCTCCTCCTCCTCGTCCTCGTCCTCCTCGTCCTCCTCGTCCTCCTCCTCGGCCTCCCTCCATCTTCCCTTCTCCTGCTCCACTTCAACTCTCGCCTTAGCGCCGCGTGCATTCTTCACCAATGATTGCAGCAACTTGAACATGAAAGGCGCTTGTTTCTCAAATGTGGTTATTGCCTTTTTCTCAAATGTGGTTATTGCCTCAGCGCCGCGCGCATTTTGTTTGAAAATTCCATACAAAGCTAAGACTTCCCATGATCGAGATTCCAACACTGGTATGTGGCAAGATTAAGAATTTCCCGGACGCAGCGGTCACATCGATTTGCGGTGTTGAAGTCCCAGGAACGGCGTTCTTGCACGATTCAGGATTGTCAGTACGAAACAATAAAATGTATTTTCGACGCTGAAATCCCAGAAGACGCTGGGGTCAATCTATTTTCGACGCCAGTCCAAGTCGACGATTGGGGATTCTCAGATGCGTGTCTTCCAGTGGGCCATGCCCCAAAGTGGAGATCCACCAATCCTCCCGCGCGTGGAAGACGCTATCGTCGTCGTCGGTCCCAAGGAAATTGAAGAAGAAGGGAGATATGGAACGTCGTAGTTGAAATCGACGGGAAGCCCCTTCCCTTTGATCCCTTCCCTGCCGAGAGGGGCGGGGGGGAGGGGGGGAGGGGGGGGGGGGGGGGGGGGGAGGGGGGGGGGGGGGGGGAGGGGGGGGGGTCATGGGTCAAACTGCCGCCCCCTGGGGTCCTCGGGGGTGGTCGCCAGCGGGCGCCCGCCTTCAGCGTCAGCGGCAGCGGCCGTGAGGCTTTCGCAGTATTGGACGGCCCTGTGAAGAGGGAGCTTTAGAGGGAGTGTGCCTTGCAACATCGTTGATGCGTCTTGGGTTTGCACTGGTCCTCCTCCTCTTCGACGACGAGCGGGCTTCAGCAACGAAGCTGTAACGCCCATGCGACGACTGGTGGCAGGCACAAAACAAGACAAGCGCCTGAATGCAGAAATAAACGGCGCAATAAGCGCTGAAAAACGGAAACAAACGGAGAGTCTGCGAGGCCAAGAGTGTTGGATCTGCAGGCGTCGGCCCTCCTCATCCTCCTCCTCCTCCCTCTCGTCCTGGTTTTCGCTAGGATTTGTTTCATAATGTTGCTCCAGCTGAAACGCTGGCCCTATTTGTGCGCCTCTGTTTGTCCCAAATTGTGTTCCTGTTGCTGCGCGGGCGTTTTTTGTCCTTCCGAAAAGGCCCCCAAATCAAAAAATTGCCCCCCCCCCCGAACAAAAAAACATCGGAAATGATTAGACATCCGGAGTCGATTCGTTGAGTTTTGGGCCGCCACTTTGGGGCGTCATCGCTTTCAGGATTCATCAAGCGGGAGCCCCGTTTCTGCTTTGAGAAGGCGATGTTAAAAGCAGAGCCAGAGGGTGCTCTCCATCAGCCCCGCCTTGCGTGGAGCTTGTCGGGGAGCCCAAGGAGCTAGATATGGAACCACGACTCCAGACCGGCCCAGACCTGTCCAATATCCACTTGCCCTCCTAGGAACCCAGCACCATGCCATGCTTTGCGTTGCAATGCTTAGTGATGCAATGCTTCTCTGCGCAATGCCACGCCATGCTATGGCATGCCATGCTCTGTTGTGCTATTCTACGACGTGCTATGCCGTGCTTTACCACGCATCGCGTATCCCCTCGCGATCATTGGCCTGCTCGACATCCGACTGTGCGAATAGAGAGGATATCTGCGCCATGGTAAGGGATGGCAGGGAGGGGTAGGACGTCAGATATAACGCGAGTGCACCTAGGAGGAGGAGGAGGAGGAGGAGGAGGAGGAGGAGGAGGAAGAGGAGGAGGAGGAGGAGGAGAAGGGGAGGAGGAGGAGGAGGATGAGGTGGAGGTGGAGGAGGAGGAGGAGGAGGACGGGAGGAGGAGGAGGGTAACCTGTCCCTCCCCCTCTCCCCCTCCCTGCCCGGGGGGCCACGGCGGCTGGCCCCGGGCCCCGCATCCGTGAACGCCGCGCCCCGACCCGTCCCCCTCCCCTGCTCCCTGCCCCGGCCTCCTCCTCGTCCCTCGTCCATCGCTCTCCTCGTCCTCCTCCTCGTCCTCGTCCCTCGTCCTTCCTCCTCCCCCTCCTACTCCTCCTCCTCCTCCTCCTCCTCCTCCTCCTCCTCCCCTCCTCGTCCTCCTCCTCGTCCTCCTCCTCCTCCTCCTCCTCCTCCTCGTCCTCCTCCTCCAACCCCTCCTCCTCGTCCTCGTCCTTCGTCCTCGTCCTCCTCCTCCTCCTCCTCCTCGTCTCCTGCCCCAACCTGCTTCGCGTCCTTGTCCCTCACCCTGACCCTCCTCCTCCTCCTCCTCCTCCTCCTCCTCCTCCTCCTCCTCCTGCTCTTCCTGCAACACCTCGTCCTCCACCTCCTCCTCCTCCTCCTCGTCTCCTTCTCCCGTCCTCCTTCTCCTCCTCCACCTCCTCCTCCTAGTCCTCCTCCTCCTCCTCCTCCTCCTCCTCCTCCTCTTCCCTCTTCCTCGTCTTCCTCCTCCCCCTCCTCCTCGTCCTCCTCCTCCTCGTCCCCTGCCCAAACCTCCTCCTCCTCCTCCTCCTCCTCCTCCTCATCATCATCATGCTCGTCCCTCGTCTCTCGCCCTCCTCGCCGCCCGCTCCCTGCCTGGCAAGCCGCAGGCGGGCCCCGAGAAACGCGGATCCTGAACCCGGGGGCCCTCCGCCGAGACCACATCTTCATCCCGAGTCGTTTACTGACGGTCGCGATGCATCGGTGATGCGGCGCGATCCTCCGACCCCATCTACTCCGACCCCATCTGGGAGGCCTAGAAGGGCCCCTGAAACCAAATCCGGCGACGAACATCCGGCCCATGTTCCTTTGGACCAGCTCGCTTCATTGCGCGGCGCCCTCCCAGGGCCCCAGGGGGGAAATGGGAGGGGGCAGGCCGTTTGGCCTCGCATATCATCTTCTTGCTGGCTCTTGCGAATCGACGCCGCCCGACGCCGGGCGACGCCACTTCGGCGCTGATCGACGCGGGATCGGCACCTCCTGTTCGACTGCCAGACTCTAGCACAGGCTAACGCACTCTGGAAGCGGACTCCGAGGACATACACAAGGCTCCCGCGCGTTGCTAGTTGCCGAGCCCCTTTCTCTGGCCGAGCACGGGGGGTGCACGGGCAGGCCACATCTCGGAGGCCTGGGCAGGTGCAGTCGGGCCTAGGCCTGAAGAGCATCCCTGGAGAAGACGAGGCCCTCCCGTCGCCCAGAACGAGAACGGAGCATCCAAGGATACCCCCCCCAGGATGCACAAGAAGAGCGTCCCACGGGCACGAAGAACACGAGGGTACGGGTACCCTCCCCGAACCGACCTCGATCTTATGTCTCGGTCCGACGGGTCATCTTTCGGCCCCCGAGGAAGCCCAAAGATTGCCACCATATCGCCGAGAGCGGGATCATTCCTCTTCCCTCGGTGGAGGCACATCGTCTGGCCTCCCTTCCACCTGCCCGCCCGTCCCGCCGGCCCCAGCCTCCCGCCTGTGCGTTCGCCGTCATCGGCCTGCTTCTCCCCTCCTCTTCCCCCTGCGCTGGACAGCACACCCTTCCCGTCCCGGGCACGGTGGCAGGAAAATTGCACAGGCCCCGTTGCGCGGGAGCCTAGAGTGAAGCGCGATTGTCTTCGCTCTGGTGATGCTTTGTAAGGTCGCAGCGGCCCCGAACTCACCGCCGATCTTGGTGTTACTGTAATGTCAACCTCCACGGGCACCGGAAGGGGGGCAGCTTTGGACGCCCGAAATAGGGACGGGCAACTGGGTACGGTGCCCAACAGCAAATTTTGTCCAAAGCCGCAGACGGCCGCTGTTGGGCAGGCGGCCTTCTGCCTCAAACAAATGGACAAAGTCCGCGGCGACGCCGACAGAGAGCCATGTCCAAAATGAACAAGACTTGCTGTCGGTCTCGGGGGCATAAATACTGTCCTGGGTCAATGCAAACCCGGGTCATCCAGACCTTCCAGGATCCTGCAGGATGCTACGAGATCCTGCACGCGAGCCCGGGGTCAGTGCACCCTTGGCCCTGCGGGATCCTGCAAGATCCAGCGCTCTAGCTGACCCCCGTTTGCATTGACCCCCGTCCCTTGAGCCCAAAAGGTCTTTGTACTCATTCTTCCCGCCTCCTCCTCCTCCTCCTTCTCCTCCTCCTCCTCATCATCATCATCATCATCATCATCATCATCATCATCATCATCATCATCATCAGCATCAGCATCAGCATCAGCATCAGCATCATCATCATCATCATCATCATCATCATCATCATCATCATCATCATCATCATCATCATCATCATCATCATCATCATCATCATCATCATCATCATCATCATCATCATCATCATCATCATCATCATCATCATCATCATCATCATCATCATCATCATCATCATCATCATCATCATCATCATCATCATCATCATCATCATCATCCATCTCCTCCTCCACCCCTCCTTCCCCTCCTCCTCCTCCTCCTCCTCCTCTTCCTCCTGCTCCTCCTCCTCCTCTCCACCACCACCTCCTCCCCCCCCCTCCTCCTCCCCCTCCTCCTCCACCTCCCCCCCCTCCTCTCCTCCTCCTCCTCCTCCGCCTTCTCCTCCTCCTCCTCCTCCTCCTCCTCCTCCTCCAACTCCTCCTCCAACTCCTCCCCTCCTTTTGCATCTCCTCCCCCTCCTCCTCGCCCCCTCCGCCTCCTCCTCCTCTCCTCCTCCTCCTCCTCCTCCTCCTCCTCCTCCTCCCCCTCCTCCTCCTCCCCTCCTCCTCCTCCTCCTCCTCCTCCTCCTCCTCCTCCTCCTCCTCCTCCTCCTCCTCCTCCTCCTCCTCCTCCTCCTCCTCCCCATCGTCCAGAGCAGCAGCCGTGCCCGGAGCAGACCCGGAGCCGCAGCGGCAGGGGGCCCGGCCCCTGGCCGCCGCGAGATACCCGGGGCGTGCGGCCGCCCCGGGGCCTGCGGAAGACGCAGGGCCCGGGGGGGCCCCCAAAAAGCGCTGGGCCCGAGAGCAACTCTTTCAAGTCGGGCGTGTCCCTCCACAGGAGGATGTGTTCAAAAGCAGTTCAAGAATAGGCTGGGGGCGATTCTTCCCACAATATTTTGAGCCTTCTTGAGCCATGTTTTACCTTTTCCTTTCAAATTCGCCCGCAGGGGGACATGCCCGAGCTAAAGCAACTCCGGCCCACAAAGCGCTGGGTCCGACAGCAACTCCTGGGGGGTGAGCGTTTTTTTATTCGGCGTTTTGACTATGGGCGGAAGCGGGGGGAGGAAGGGGGGGGGTCTGGCTCCGGTCCTCTGCTTCGCGCGACTGTTTGCGGCAGTGCGTCCTATGGGGAGGCTCCACTGGCTCGAAACAGGCGACAAAAAAAGCCAAGATCTACTCCATGGAGGGGCGGGGAGGGGGGGTGCGAGGGCCCGCGCCGTCGTTCGGCAAAACAACGAATGAAAAAACGTCCACCAACTCCTGGAGGTCTTCGTAAGAACGAAGATGAGTGGACAGGCCTCGAGCTGAGCGGTGCGTCCCGTCTTCGTTCTGCCTTCGTTCCCCCTCGCCTCCGTGTCTTCCTTCCGCCCGCGCCGCGAAGCGGGACCGAAACGAGGAAACAACCCACGAGATCGCCGGGAAGCACTGTTGGGCTCCAGCCCTGCGCCTGGAGCCTTGGGGGCGGCTCCGAGGTGGCCCGGTGCTGGCCCCAGCCGGCCGGGAGGGCGGGCGGGCTCGCGGTGCTCGGCTCGGGCACGCGTGGTGGCCTGCTTCGACCTGCGTGGGCCGCTCTCGGACCCCAGGGCGGTCAAGAACGGATCCGGGGTGGAGCACTGCACCAGCTGGCCTCGGGAGCGGCCCAGGGACCGATCTTGAACGGGTTTGGCTGCGCCCCCTCCTTCTGACCAATCGTCCAGTGTCCCGGCCAGTCTAGGACCCCCCGGCCGTCTCCAAGCTGGGAGGTCTTAGAGAGAGAACAATCGGGGGCCGTTCGGCCCGATTGAGGTGATTGCGTGATGCTCGACCCCGAACCAAAAAAACAGGGCTGTCCATGTTGGACATACATAGGCAACTCTCCGTCGCTGTATGGTTGATGATGAGCCGCGTCTACATCCCATAGCAGGGGGGCTGGAAAGGGGCATGCCTCTGCTTGACACGAGCCTTGCCCCGATTTGCGACCGCCGCGATCGCCGCGGTGACCTCCAAGACGGCTCGGGTCCAAATATCACGCAACGATTGAGGGGCAACTAAGCTAAGCCAAGGATGAAGCCGAATTGAACGGGACACAGCCGAGTTGCACGGGATCAGGCCTGTTTTGGACCGCGGATATACCAGCGACGATACTGGAAGTAGCCTCACAGGACTTGCATCCGAAGGACCTCAAGTGCTGGGGGAGGGCGGGGGAATTTGTCACACAGCCACGTAACTGGGACCTGGACAATATCAGACCAGGACAACTAGGGGATCTCTGAGATCCTGTGGTTCTGGAGGACAAACGCAGTGTCTCTAGGCCGCTGAAGCACACGTCATGCACCCTTGGCTGAGGAGGGCCGACTGGCACTGTCCACCCGATCGCCCCTCGCTCTTCGCTTCCGTCATGAGATCAACCGCGTGCGTATTACCTGTGGGGCAGCAGCCCCTGAGGCAGAACATCTGTTCATTGCAAGACTCCTGGTCCACCCCTCCTGCCAAGAGTCGGCAAGTCGGCGGCGCAACCGGGGCGGAGTGAGAAGGGGCGGGCCTTCTCAGAAGGCTCAGAAGTCCCCTGGCCTTCCGAGAAGCTTTCTAAGCACTCCACGAGGACACAGAAAACTTCTCAGAAGGCACGAGGGCTTCTGAGAAGCCCCACCGCCTTCGGAGAGGGCCTTCTCATTCTCACTTCCCCTCATCGCTCGTCGCCGATCAGTGCAAGACTCATGGTCCACCACTCCTGCGAAGACCATATGCGCGCGGGCCTAACATTTCGACACTGGCGCCGATCGCAGGGGCGTACGAAGGGAGCACGAGGGCCTTGGGCTCCTCCGCTGGCTCCAGCTGTTGCCGACATCGACGCGCTCCTCCAAAACGCGACCACGGCATCCCAACTCGATTTTGAGCTGGCCGACATGATTTCGGCGGGCGCCCGTAGATTTGTGCTCAAACCCAGCTGCGGGTCTCCTGTGGCCTCCTCAGCGTCCTCTGATGCGCCCCGGCATCGCCTGCCAGCGCGGATGTCCCGCCACGAACCGGCGCGCACGGCAACGGCCGGGCGCTTCATTACTGGTGAAGGTGTCGACGGCAGAGCTCGAGGAGTCGACCGCTGCTTGAGCACGGACGACTTGGCGGCGCGAGGCTGAGGCAGAGGCGACCCCTGTCCCCGACTTCGTGGGGCTTCGAACGGACAAACAATGTGGGGCCAAACCCGGGGATGCACGAGGGGGGGGCGTGCATCCTCGGAAGGGGTGCGTCCGAAGAGCCCCCCATTGGGGTTTATCCTCGAGTTTCCCTTCTTCCCCGAGATCCGACGTTACCACAAAAGTGCAACATCGCAGGAGGAGGGGAAGAGGAAGGGGAAGGACCCCGGCGGGCCCGCGACCCCCACGGAGCCCAGACGGGGTCACCGTCACAAGGAACTCGGGCGCAGGGTAAGCAGGGCGAATCACGCGGGGCTCCTCCCCCATTCCTCGCCCAGCTCTTGTCTCCAGGTCGAGTCTTTGAGAGACCTCGGCGGGGCCGCCTGGCACACACGCACACACACACACACCACACCACAACACAACACAACACAACACAATACAACACAACACAACACGACGCAACGCAGCACACACAACACAACACAACACAACACAACACAACACAACACAACACAACACAACACAACACAACACAACACAACACAACACAACACAACACAATACAACACAACACACACGCACACACACACGACGGGACCTGCCAGCCCGAGGTCTGACGCAGGCTGAGACAGGGCAGGGCAGGTACGAAGTCGGCCAGGGATAAATTGGGGATTTCTGAGATCTGGCGGTTCTGGAGGATGTATCGGGCGCGGCGGCCCGTTACATCCTGGCATGCGATACCTTGATTTCTTGATACGGGGTCCAATGGACCACTACCATATGTAGGACGGGGGAGAAGGGAGGATGAGGAGGTCCTCCTCCTCCTCCTCCTGCATATGGTAGTGGTTGTGGAAAATGGGCCCATCATCGCAAGCGTGGCTTTTTCCTGGGCCGCCCCAGCATGGCAAGCTCCCGCGGCAACAAAACGGCCATGCACGTGGATGTCTCCGTGCTGCAACGTCGTGGCCCCACGGGCCGCGCCCACCAAAACGCCCCGGCGAACGGCCTCCGGGGGCTCGAAACAACTCGGCGCGGCCCACGGCGGTTGACGCCGGTTTACGGGTGCTACGCTACGGGTGCTACGCTACGGGTGCTACGCCTACAGCTTGTCCAGGTAGTCGTGGAGGGCCGGGATCTCGACCTTGATGTTCTTGCGCTTCCGAACGGCCAGGACCAACTCGTTCATCTTGCTCCCCACCTCCATGGCGTTGCCTGGCATGTTCTCCCAGTGGTCGAAGACGCACTGGGGGAAAGCCTGACCAGAGGTCGCCTGCCGCAGCGCAGAGACGAAGCCGAAGGACTCGGACACCGGCAGGTACGCCTTGACCTGTATCAGAGGCGTGCCTTCGCGAGGGTTCTCCTCGAACACACAGCCGCGGCGCAGATTCATGCAATTGTACACGCCGCTCATTGCCTCTTGGGGGCAGGTGATCTCCACGAGGAAGACGGGCTCCTGCAGCGTCGGCTTGCCGAGCATTTCAGCCGCGAAGCACGCGCGTCGCGTGGGCGGCATGATCTGCCCTGCGCCGCGGTGGATGGAGTCGGTGTGCAGGGTGCAGTCTGTGAGATTGAAACGGATGCCGCGCATGTTCTCCTCGCACAGGGGGCCCTCCTTGGTGGCCCACTGGAAGGCGCTATTCACGTGCTCCTTGATTTCCAGGAGGTACTGGATGGCCTGCGTGACGTCAACGACAACGTTTGCGCCCTCGGTCTCTGGACCCCAGCACCAGATCTTGCGCGCCGCGGACTCGTCCCAGTCGTACTTCTCACGGAAGAGTTTCGCGCGCTCCTTCGCATCCGCCTTGGGGCCGAGCTTGCCGTCCTCGATGTCCTTGCTGATCTCTTCTGCCATCGGCTCCGCCTCCAGGTAGATACGGTTGTGCTTGTTCGGTGACTTGGCCAAGGCCGTCTGCGTGGATGTTTCGGAAACGGTCTCGCGGTAGGAGACGACGGGGTCGGAGACGATGAAATCACACTGCGCGTACTCCTCGCGGAGGTCTTTGAGGCAGATCTCGACGTGCAGCTCGCCGCAGCCAGCGATCACGTGCTCCCCGCTCTCCTCGGTCGTGCAGATAACCAGCGGGTCGGACTTGGAGAGCTTCTTGAGGCCCTCAACAAGCTTGGGCAAGTCCTTGCCGTCCTTCACTTTCACAGCCACCTTGACCACGGGCGACACGCTGTACTTCATATCGGCGATGTTGTGGGCGTCCTCGATGGTGGTAATGGTCCCAGACTTGAGGAGGTACTGGTCCACACCCACCAGGGCCACGGTGTTGCCGCAAGGGACATCGGCGATCTGCTCGACGGACCTGCCCATCATCAGCACGGTGCGCTGGATGCTTTTGACGTTGAGGTCCTCCTTGCTTCCTGGCGTGTAGTGCGGGCCCTGGATTCGCACCTTCTGCCCGGTCGCGATGGTGCCGCTGAAGACGCGGCCGAAGGCGTGGAAGCGGCCCTTGTCGCTGGTGGGCACCATCTTGGACACGTACATCATCAGCCCTCCATCTTTGTCGCAGGCGCGGATTGCGTTCGCCGCTGCGTCGTCCATGGGCCCCTCGTACAGATTCTCCACGCGGTACTTCTGCGCCTGACGAGGGGACGGCAGCTTGGAGACGATCATGTTGAGGAGCGTGTCGGCTGCGTTGATCCAAATCTGCATCGAGCGCTTCATCAAAGGCTTGCCAGTCAGGGCCCTGTCATCGCCCTTGAGGACGATGCCGAGCGTCTCCATCATCTTCGAGTACTTGTCCTTCTGGTCATCCATGATCGCACGCATCAGCTGGTTGATCGGGGTCATGATGAACTGGCAGAAAGCTCGAGGAAGCGGTTTGTCGCACCCCTCGGGCTGCATAACGTTGGTCCAAGTCTTCTTCTTGGCGTTGAAATAGGACTCTCCCCACAAGCGCTTCATCATCTTGTCCTTGTCAACTCCCATCTTCGCGGCGTAGATCTTCGCGAAACGCTCCACATTGAACCCCCATCCATGCAGGCCACTCCCGAAGGCCACCGTGCCCTTGTCAGGGTTCACCTGGTTGTCTCCCATCAGCTCGTCGTTGTATGTTGCAATGATCACGTTCACATCCTCGATTGCCTTGCGGAAGCGCTGATACATGTCCTCGGGCTCCATCTGCAACTCCAGAATGCAGCGGTCCACCTTGTTCACAAACAAGCACGGCTTCACGCGCTCCGCCAGTGCCTGGCGCAACACAGTCTCCGTCTGCACCGCGCAGCCCTCGATGCAATCGACGACGACCATGGCGCCGTCAGTGATGCGGAGGGCGGCCGTGACCTCAGAAGAGAAGTCCACGTGGCCAGGGGAGTCGATGAGGTTGATCAGATGCGGCTTGGCGCCCTTGCCATCGTCATCATCATATTCGAAGCCCGCCAACCCCGCTCGCCGAGGGTGAAAAGGCATAAGAGAGGATTGGCTGTCCCCCTCCCCCATGTCCCCCTTCCCGGCGTCCAAAACCCCGCGAAGGCACCTCGGGGCCCTCGAAACCTTCACATGCACCCTCCGTGGCCCCCAAGATTCAATCTAAGGTGGCGCAAGGAGGGCTCCAACACTTCAGAAAGGCCTCAAGAACATCAAATCCGCCGACCCTTCTGGCGTGTGTGAAACGTTTCTCCATTCGAACCGTCGTCGTCGCCGCTCCCTCCCCAAGCGATTCCGCCAAACGGAAATCAAGCAACGCCGAATATTGGTTCGAGAAGGAGCCCGCTCCCTTGGATCCCTCCTGGGGGGAAGGGGTCGCCGGGGGTGTCCCTGGGGGGAGGGGGTCCCGGGGGGTCGTGGCCTCCGCCCCGGGGGGCCTCTCCCTGTGGACCGGGGGGTCAGAAGGGGCGGCCTCCCCCCCCACCCCCGCCTCTCCCCACTGCGGACACGGGGCCCACCACCACCACCGCTCCCCCTTCCTCCGAGCAGCCTCCCCCCCCCACCACGGAGGTACCTTCCTCACGCTGCTCTGCTGCCGCGGGGTGCCGGCTTGTTTCCCCACGTGCCTCCGAGAGGCCTCAGATCCGCTGAGAGGCGGCTCCAAGTGACCACGGAGCTTCCCAAGCAGTCTCCCAAGAGGCCCCCCCAAAAAAGAGCCCAAGAGGATCCCAAGAGAGCTCCAGGAAGGGCTCCAGAGCGTCAACATCGTCGTCGTCGCCGCCGTCGTTGTCGTCGTCTTCCCCCTTCAGGGTCGGCGGCACCAGCCGTCAGGCCTTCCCAATGGCCTGACAAGACACCCCAAGAGGCCCCGAAGACGCCCCAAGAGAGCCCCAAGAGGCAAACACCATTGATGTCTTCTAATTGTTGAATGAAGTACGCGTTCTCGCGTTTTCGAGCTTCGGAAAACGCTAAAAACGTCCCGAAAGGCTGCCCAAATCGGCCCAGGACTGCCCAAGAGGACGCCAAGACTGCCCAAGAGGCCCCAAAGACGGTCCAAAAAACCTCAAGAGGGCCCCGCGAAGGGGAACTAATAGGGGCCCTGGAGGGCATCAACAACCGAAGCCCTGAGAAAACCGAGGCCCCTAAGTGGCCACCAAGAAGCTCCGCAACAGACGCGGACGAAGGGGAGACAATCAACAACAACCAAGACACGCAGGCAGCACGACGGGAAACGGCGAACAGCACATACGAATTCGGAAGCCGCACATATCCTCTTCTAGGGCTGGGGATCTGGAATGGCGTAAGCCTTTTGAGTACAGGGAGACTCCAGTACTTTTGATAGTCACACCACGCTCCTGCTCGTCTGCCCTTGTGTCGGTGAAGCGTGCATCTCCTGCTGCTTTTGCAGAGATGATGCCAGCCTTGCAAATGAGGGAGTCCGTCAGCGTGGACTTCCCGTGGTCCACGTGTGCGATGACAGACATGGAGCGGATACTGTCTGTCGCATCCATGATGGTCCGGATCTGCTCCGTTGTAAAGTTCGGCATGGTTGAAAACTCCGGAACAAGCTAAGACCCGGGTCGAAAATACACTAGATACCGCGTGGCCTCAGGAATTAAACCTTCGAAACGAAACGGCTATAGATGTCTGGCAATCCTCACCATGTGTTCCCGAAACAAGGATTGCAATGAGGGGCTCTTCTTTGTGCTCGAATGGAATGGTGACGCTGGCCAGGCTGATGAGGGTGCTGTTGAGGACGATGACGGAATGCGAGCGCGCTGAAATTTGACGAGGGCGACGGCATCGACGATGAAGGCAGCGGAAATACTGACGACGGTGATGATGATGATGATGATGATGATGATGATGATGATGATGATGATGATGATGTTGATAGATACATGGCAATGATGGCGCTGATGATGGTGATGATGTTGATGATGTTGGTGATGATCGTGATGATGACGAGTGAGGATGGTGAGCAAGTGCGCGCTCGCAGAAACTCAGACTTCGTTGAATTTCCATTGGGGAGCATGTGGTGCTCGCATTAGTTTGAACACTCTGTGTTGACATGCTAAGAGAACAATTTATGCTGAAAATATTTCGGCGTGCGCGCGCGGATACGCGCACGTGTGGCCCGAAACAAATGCTTAATAGATTCGGCGGGCGCGCGCGCGCTTGGTGGAACGTGTTCGACATGCGCGCCCGTGAGGCCCGCATGGTACGATTTGGCCGCGTCGCTAAAGCCTACGGCCCACGTGCGATCGCAGAAAGTGTGCGCGAGAAGAAGTCAGACAGTCTGAACGTGTTTTTGTCAATAACCATGCCTTAAAGTTGTGCGACCAGCTTGTTTCAGGTCGGGCATGTCCCCCTACAGGCGGGCTTTGGGCGAACCATTAAAACATACCAACAACAAATACCCCACACAACACAGAAAATACTAAACCAAATCGTCCCCAGACGATGTTTTTTAATACTATGTTTGAACATTCCCTCGGCCCACATAGGGAACATCTCCTTCGCCTTCTCCTACTCCCTTCCACCTTAATCCCCCTTCTCCTCCTCCTCCTCCTCGTATTCGTCGTCATCGTCTTCAGGGTCGGCGTCATCGTCCTCCTGTAGAGGGGCGTGCCCGACTTAAAGCTCGAACGGACAAACATGGTTTTCGCATGCGCGCGCGGCGGCCACGAGGGATTCCAGAACAAAAACACATACCAGATCAGCGCACGCGAGCCGCAGATCAGCATTTGCAAGACTTGGCGGGGGATATCGGAGGTCGGGGGGGTGAGGTCGAAATGGGACGGGGGGAGCCCCCCACACCGGGAAATCGGTTTCGGTTTCGAGCTGGTGCCGCGCGATATCGTGCGAGGCGAAGCTGCGTGGGCGGGCGAAAGGAATGAACCCTCCCCTGGCTAACGAGCCGCCAGACCAAAAGACCCCCCCCCCTTGTTGGCCAACAATTGACGGGGTTCTCCCGTCGTGTTGTCCCGATGGTGTCCCATGGTGTCCCGTGGTGTCCCGTGGTGCCCCGTAATGTCCCACGGTGTCCCGATGGTGTCTTGCTGGCGTCCCGATGGTGTCCCGATGGTGTCCCGATGATGTCCCGATGGCGTCCCGATGGTGTCCCAGTGGTGTCCCGATTGGTGTCCCGTCGGTCTCCCGTCGGTGTCCCGTCAGTGTCCCGTAGTGCGATCAATAGTGAGATCGGTAGTGAGATCGATAGTGCGATCGATAGTAATACCGATAGTGAGAGTGATACATCCCCAGGCCGATTGTTTCCTCTTGGAGTAGAAACTGTTAAACACTCAATATCTGTACGTATAGTTGGATCCGTTTTCGGGTCTGCAAAAGTCTAGTGGACCGTATTTCTGCGCTGGGCGGATCCAATTTCCAATGGAATCGAAAACACTGGATCCATGTATTTGCCTGGAACAACTATTACATGCACTAGTTACTTGTATCCCGAACCTAGGGGCAATGAAATCCACAAGGCACTGCGCGTGACACATATCGCTCTGATTATACGAGGATTGGGTTTTCCTGTCCTCCTCCTCCTCATCATCATCTTCATCTCATCCTCATCCTCATCCTCATGATCCTTATGATCCTCATGATCCTCATGATCCTCATGATCACCATCACCATCATCATCATCATCCTCATGATCCTCATGATCCTCATGATCCTCATGATCCTCATGATCCTCATGATCACCATCATCATCATCATCATCATCATCATCATCATCATCATCATCATCATCATCATCATCATCATTGTCATAGTCATTATCCTCATCGCCACCGTCGTCACCACCAGCTCGAGCGTCACTGCGGGCTCCCGCCCACTCCCACAACACCCTCATACCCTTGACAACGGAAGCAATGAAGGGCTCGATTGTAACTGCGGGCCCCGCCCACTCCCAAAACTCCCTCAATAACCTTGGGCAGCGTGAGCGTCACAACGGGCGCACATCCACTTCTGTCCCCAATAACAATGATTACGCCACCGAATAACCCCACATACTTAATTTAAACATGATGTGCTTGTTGATGTTTTTCCCCAAACAGTTTGCTGAACGGGGTGCTGTTGTGATAGAAGCTAACTCCGGCCGAGGGAAAGCTAAGCAGAGACATCCTCAAACAAATGTGGTGGTCCGGCCCGTTTCGCCTGAGACATCCTCACAACTCTCGTTTCTGAGTTGTCCGGGATTGAGCGTTTCGCCTGAGACATCCTCGAAAAGTTGCGCTCCGGGACGCCGCGCGAGAGGTGGTCCGGGCCGTTTCGCCTGAGACATCCTCAAACCGGGACGCCGCGCGAGAGGTGGTCACATCCTCGAAACTCTGAGCCCCGAGGTGCCGTGCGAGAGGTGGTCCGGCCGTTTCGCCTGAGACATCCTCGAAAAGTTGCGCTCCGGGACGCCGCGCGAGAGGTGGTCCGGGCCGTTTCGCTTGAGACATCCTCGAAACTCTGAGCCCCGAGGTGCCGTGCGAGAGGTGGTCCGGGCCGTTTCGCCTGAGACATCCTCGAAACTCTGAGCTCTGCGATGCCTTGCGCGAGGTGGTCCGGCCTATTTCGCCTAAGACATCCTCGAAACTCTGACTTCGGAGATGCCGCGCGAGAGGTGGTCCGGCCCGTTGCGCTTGAGAAATCCTCGAACTTCTAAGCTCTGAGATGCCCTGCGCGAGGTGGTCCGGCCCGTCTCGCCTGAGACATCCTTGCAATTCTGAGCTCTGAGATGCCGTGCGCAAGGTGGTCCGGTCTGTTTCGCACAAGACATTCTCGCAACTCTGAGCTCTCAGATGCTGCGCGAGAGGTGGTCCAGCCTGGGCGCCCAGAAGACCACATGTGACATATCCTCCATGGGACCCTGCGAGCCTCAGGAGGCCCCAGAGAGGTCCAGGAGGCCGCAGGACGCCCAGGACAGGCCCCAGGGGCCCCCAGGAGATTCCCAGGAGGCTCCCAGGAGGCCCCAGGAGGCCCTCTATCAGAACGTGTCAAGTTAATACACATCCAGTGTCGATTCGTTGATTTTTCCTGCTCTTGTGCCCCCCCCTCCATTTTGAGGGGCCCACGCGGCCACAGGTTAGATATCCCCCCTGGGAGCCCCAAGAGCCTTCAGGAAACCTCAGGTGGAGTTCAGGAGGCCACAGGAGGCCCAGGAGGAAGCTCCAGGAGGTCACCAGGAGGCCCCAGGAGGCACCAGGAGGCCGCAGGACGCCCAGGACAGGCCCCAGGGGTCCCAGGAGGCACCAGGAGGCCGCAGGATTCCCAGGAGGCTCCCAGGAGGCCCCAGAGGCTGCCTATCAGAACGTGTCAAGTTAATACACATCCGGTGTCGATTCGTTGATTTTTCCTGCTCTTGTGCCCCCCCCCCTCCACTTGGAGAGGCCCAAATGGCCACAGGTTAGATATCCCGGCTGGGAGCCCCAAGAGCCTTCAGGAAGCCCCAGGTCGGGTCCAGGAGGCCACAGGAGGCCCAGGAGGAAGCCCCAGGAGGTCCCCAGGAGGTCCCAGGAGGCCCCAGGAGGCCCCCGCAACTCGGAGCTCTGAGACGCCGCGCTCGAGGTGGTCCGGCCCGTTTCGCCTGAGACTTCCTCGCACCACGTTTCGCCAGAGACATCGTCGCAACTCTGGGGTCCGAGATGCCGCGCGCGAGGTGGTCCAGCCCGTTACGCTGGACACATCCTCGCAACTCTAGGCTCCGAGATGCCGTTCGGGATGAAGAGGAGGTGGAGGAGGAGGAGGAGGATGAGGAGGAGGAGGCATGTTTTAACATGCCATGCCAGCCCGCACTGGACAGGCACGCAATCGACCTTGGAAACCGCAGTGGGTCGAAAAACCCTGTTTGGGGATACTGCACTCCGGCTATAATTAATCTATGCGCAATCCTGCGTTCTGAGCCCTCGTCGCGAATGTTTCCCTATGTGTCATCCAACGCCATATTGCTTGCCACGCTTTGCGAGCCCGCAACGGATAGAAAGACCACCCCCAGCGCACCCCCTGTCGTGTCGAGGAAGTGCCACGCCTGCCACGCTTTGCGAGCCCGCAGCGGATAAGGATACCACCCCCAGCGCACTCCCTGTGGTGTCGAGGAAGTGCCACGCCTGCCACGCTTTGCGAGCCCGCAACGGATAGGGAGACCACCCCCAGCGCCCCCCCCCCTGTGGTGTCGAGGAAGTGCCACGCCTGCCACGCTTTGCGAGCCCGCAGCGGATACATATACCACCCCCAGCGCACCCCCTGTGGTGTCGATGAAGTGCAACGCCTGCCACGCTTTGCGAGCCCGTCAAGGATAGGGAGACCAACCCCAGCGAATCACCTGTGGTATCGGGGAAGTGCCACGCCTGCCACGCGTTGCGAGCTCGCAGCGGATAAGGAGGCCATCCCCAGCGCACCCCCTGTGGTGTCGAGGAGATGCCACGCCTGCCACGCTTTGCGAGCCAGGAACGGATAGCGTCCCCACCCACAACTCCCCCCCCCTGTGGTGTCGGGGAAATGCCACGCCTGCCACGCTTTGCGAGCCCGAAACGGATAGCGTCCCCAC